CCCCCCCCAAGCCCCACCCGCCATTCCAAGTCCCGCACGCCCCGCCTCTTCTGCCGGAGTCAGCGCCCAGAGCCCGGATGCCTGTAGGATGGGCATACGCACAAGCCTGACGCCGCCGCCATTGGCCGTCGACGAAGAACGTATTGATGACGCGTCAAGGAAACAGGAAGTGGGGCCTACGGGAGGCGGTGTGGGCCAGGAAGAGGCCAGCGAGTGGAGGCGTTTGCTGAGGGGAGGGAATGAATGGGCGCTGCGTGCAAACCTGCGGGGCGAGGACGCGCCGGCTCTAGCGAGGGCCTCGGCGTGTGAGCGGCCGGGGTCGGGCCGCCCTCCCGCAGCATGGAGGACGACGCGCCGGTGATCTACGGGCTGGAGTTTCAGGTGGGGCCCTCGGGGGCGGCAGGTGTCGGGCCTGGCGCGGCCCCCGGCACCGGTCTGCAGATACCTGGCGCGTTTCCGTCCCGCCAGCCTGCGAGCGCTCGTGTCCCTCTCCTAGCTCGCATTGCAGGGAGGACGCTGAGGCTTCAGGAGGCTGAGGGCGGCTTAGGGTCAGGACCGAATCCAGGAGCCCTGGGCTGGGTCCTGGGTGACAGCAGGGCTGACTGCCTTCTTCCTCCCCCATCCTGCCGGAACAGCCTCTGGCCTGGAGAGGATCGCTCACACTGGCGTGCCCTTTGTTTCCGTGTGCACCTTTCCCTCTAGAATTTGAGTTCCTGAGGTCTGGTATCCCACCTCCCCTCCGCACACACACACAGAGTTGCAAAGACACAGAAAAAGTTCTTGTGCACCCCTCACCCAGCTGCCCTGATGGTAGTAGCTTAGTTAACCAGGGTACATTTTTCACAGCCTTGAAATTAACATTGGCGCGATACCATGAACCAAACCACAGACCTCACTTGGGTTTTGCACCAATGTCCTGTTTCTTTTTCATCTTGTAGTCTCCAGTGCCTGTTCGCCATGACTATCACATAGTAGGTGTGCCACAAACCATTACAAGCTGAATAAACCCCAGAGCGAAAGTAACGAAGCCAGAGTGCACATGGCAGTTTGGAGGCAAAGGGAACTGGCGTGCTAGAGGGAGCGAGTGTGGAGCCGGGTCGGGGTTGAGTAGCTAGAGTTGGGCCGCGGCCGGCAGAGGCTGTTAGAGCTGAGAACCTCTTATGCTTGAGGAACTGAGGGACAGATGCCAAGAAATCAAAACACAAGACATTGCCTCGTGATGTAGCTGCGTGCCGCAAGAGCGTTAAAGATGCAGTGTCTGCCCTTACAGTCAGGGAGCACCACTGTTACTAACAGCGGGGCTGCACCTTCTGCACCTTCAGCTATGCGACCTTGGGGGCTTCCAGTCCCTGGAGGCTGTTACAAAATTAAATGTGCTAATACATTAAACTCCAGACATAATACATGTTCAACATGAAACTGTTACAGGATGAAACTCTTAAAAAAACGAATTTCTCACAAGGCAGTGGCTCATGGTCATAGGAGTGAGAGACTGCGTTCCCGGCCCTGACAGGCACCGCACCACGCTCCCAGGGGTGCGGCTGAAGGTCTGGGTGCGGAGTGAGGGACTGCGTCAGCCCTTCTACTTGTGTCCAGGGGAGTTAGGGTAGAAAACGGGGCTAGCTCAGTGATTAGGGAATATTTGGTGTAACAGGAATGGCATCTTCAGCTCACTGAAGGGACCTCGGACGTGGCTAGGACTGCATTCTGTTTATTTTATAACTGAAGTTTAAAATGTCCAAGTAGTTCTGAAGTCAAACTGCTAAAATCCGAGTAAAACACATACACACCCCTTCCCCATCAGTCGATTCCCTGAGACAGCAATGCTCGACTTCTCAAAAAATGTTTCAGTCTTTATGTGCTTCTCTCTCCTGGACCTGTTGGTGCAGAAGCCTAGTGTCACGAAACTAAACGCCACACGCAGGGCAGGAGAACTCCGGTTTATTACACTGGTGGACTCAGCAGTCCAGACTCGAAGCTCGGCCCCGATTTAGGGTAGGGTAAGGGGTTATACTGTTTTTTTTTTTTTTTTTGGAGAGATTTTCACTGTAGGGCGCGTGCACTCGCCAGACAGACAGAGAGAGCCATAGAGACAGAAAGCGAGAAATCCCCCCCCAGGGGGGATGGTCACGCCGCAATCCCTTCTCCTCCATTCTCCTCTCGGGATCTTGGGCACACACGCACACGCGCCCGGCGTGAGTTTTAAGCCACCTGGTCCGGGACACGAACCACGGTCGACTACGTGGGAGTCCAGCGACATAGCCAGTACGCTAACTGCTGGTTCCCAAGGGGTTATACTGGTTTTTAACAGGGAAGGTCAGCACGATTCGCATGGAGGTGTAGGTGATGGATGGTGTGTGTGTGTGGGAAGGCTGTAACAGTTAGAGACAGTAAGGAATTTTTTTTTTTTTGAGAGGTTTTTATATAGGGCACGTGTGCTCACCAGAAAGACAGAGAGATGGCGAGAAATCACCTCCCGGGGGGATGGCCACTCCAGAATCCCTTCTCCTACATTATTCTCTCCGGATCTTGTGCACGCACACACACGCGCCCGGCGTGATAGTTTAAGCCACTGGGTCCAGGACATGAACCGCGGTCGACTACATGGGAGTCCAGCGACATAGCCATTATGCTAACTGCTGGTCCCAACAATAAGGAATTTAAAAGTCAGCTTTTCTTATCCTTGGAGCATGACAGCCCTGCCTTAGTGGGCCTTCAGCACTGGGCTGCTGATCGTGCCAGTGGTCTGGCTGGCCATGCTGCCTCACTGTCTGCTGCTGGGTGTCAGCACAGGAGGGCGTTTGCTTCTTGATGCTGTCCCCTGTTTAGCGTCTCGGTATACTTATGCCACAGTTTTTGCCATAGCTCTCTAATTACGTGGAGCAGTTACTGCCAATTCGTAAGGTACTCCTTGCACTTGGATAAGAGCTTGCTCCTCAGAGGTGCATGTTTTGGAATTGGTCTCAGTGGGAGGTGGTTAGATGTTCCCTAAAAGTTCCTGTGTCAGGACTTGACTATATATTTTGGGTGTCGTGTGAAAGCCTGACCCTGCATTCGTGGTGTGCCAGGTGGGGACTTTGGGTGTGATCAACTCATTAGGGTAGGACCCCGTGATTGAGTTCCAAAGTGTCTGTAAGGAGAGCTAACTCATGGATATAGACCGAGGTCTGCTGATAGTTCTGCTTTTTAAAATTCTTTATTTTGGAGAGGTTTTTTTTTTTTTTTTTTTTTTTTTGCTGTAGGGCGCTTGCGCTCTCCAGACAGAGGGAGACAGAGAGACAGAAAGTGAGAAATCACCCGCCAGGGGGGATGGCTATGCCACAATCCCTTCTCCTCCATTTTCCTCTCGGGATCTTGGGCATGCACACACACGCGCCCGGTGTGAGTTTTAAGCCACCAGGTCTGGGATGCCAACCATGGTCGACTACATGGGAGTCCAGTGACGTAGTTATTACGCTAACTGCTTGTCCCAAAGTTTTACTGTCTCTCTCAACTAGAGAGAGAGAGACAGACAGACAGAGAGAGAGGGGGGGAGAGGAAAGTGAGAATGAGAAAGCGTCTGCCGAAAGGATGGCCCCACGGTCCCCCTTCTCCATTCTGCTCAGAGGATTGCGAGCATACACACGCCCAGGCATTTCTCAAGCCGTGTCTGGGACTCAGACTGTGATGTCGGCCATGTGGCATCCAGCTGCCTAACTTCCGTATCACCCGCTGGCCCAAAAGTTCTGTCTTTTGCTGTTTTGTAATGCCTTTGGACTTTGCGGCTTCCAGAATTGTGAGTTTTGGGACCAGCGGTTAGCGTAATGGCTATGTCGCAGGACTCCCATGTAGTCAACCACGGTTCGAGTCCCAGACCTGGTGGCTTAAACTCACACCGGGCACGTGTGTGTGCGTGCCCAAGATCCCGAGAGGAGAATGGAGGAGAAGGGATTGCGGCGTGGCCATCCCCCCGGGGAGAGATTTCTCGCTTTCTATCTCTCTGTCTCTCTCTGTCTGTCTGGCGAGCACACGTGCCCTATAGCAAAAGCCTCTCAAAAAAAAAAAACAAAAAAAAAAACCCCAGAATTGTGAGTTTTGTGAGTAAACCT